TTTTTCCTTTTTTTAAAAATTAAAAAATTAAAATTTAAAATTAAATTTTAAAAAAAAAAAAAAAAAAAAAAAAACAAAATTAAATCATCAATTTTTTTTGGATGAATAAAGAATTTGGCTCAATATTACCCGTTTAGGTTGAAATAGTTGTGAAGAGAATCATTTTTGCTTTTGCTTTTTTAGTTTTGTTCAGTTGTTGCGAAAAAAAACTGAATTCTTTGATTAAATCAAGTTAAATATTTGCAAATTGAAAATAAAAAAAAGCGGATGATTCCCTTGTGTGAAATGTATGTGTGTGGGCAGATGAATGAATGAAACAAACAAATCATAATTCTTGAATATTCTTTTGTTTTTTTTGGAAACTCAACAGAAAAATTCCTATTTCTACTCAACTCTATATTCTCGTAATTCTGTATTGCTAAATCATTCATGCTGAACTTGAATTATTTCAAACAAAACAACGGAAAAAAAATGGAAAATAATTTGCAAAACAAAGCAGGATTTGTCTATACACAGAACCCTAAATCAAATAATAAAACAACAACAATGGGTACACATTTAACTTAAAGGATGGTTAAGTAAAGGCTAAACTTAGGGGTTGTTTTTACGAAAGGGTTGGATGTTTTTTTTTGATTCTCTATTTGATTAAATGTACCATTTTTTTGTTTTGCTTTTAGTGTCAAAAAAAAAATTCTGATTTGATTTTGCCATGATCATCGTCATCATTTATTATTGATTCGATTTGATTTGATTTGATTAGAACCGAACCGAACCGAGCAATTCAATTGGCACTTGGCAAAAACACCAAAAAAAACCAAATGTGAAACAAACAATCAAAAAACACATCATCATCAATCGGCTAAGCCCATTATTTATTGAAAGTGTTGTTTGTTTGTGATGTTTACATAAGTGAATTTTCTTCTCTCTGGAAAAAAATGAATTTCGAAAATGTCAGAACAAAATCGTTCGAATGTTTGTACCGAAAACGAAACAAACCAAAAATTAACGTTTTAATCAATTTCTTTGGATGTTTTTTTGACCAACTTTTTTTTAAACAAAAAAAATGAAATTTTATTTCAAGTTTCAGATTTCGTGATTCTTCTTTTCCAAATTCATTCATTCATTTTTTGATTGACATTTAGCATTTCCATTTTACACACAAACACTTTTCACACATCGAACAAATTGAAACGTTGTTGTTGTTGTTGTTTTCGTTGTTTGAAAATGAAACGTGAAATGAAAAAAAAACGATGAAAAATAAATTGATATGAATGCAAATAATATGTAATTTAAGAATGTCATGTGTGAAAAGAATAGAATTCTTTTCATTTTCTTTTCTTTCAAAGAATTTGAAAATCAGTAGAAGAAACGATGTGTGTGTGAGAGAGAGAGAGAGAGAGAGAGAGAGAGAAAAAAAAATAGAAATGATAATGATGATGTTTGATATGAAAGAATTTCCTCCTTTCTTTCTTTCTTTCGTTTTTTTTTCAAAATTCAATTCAAAAATTCGTGTGAATTTTTACACTGTTTTTTCTTTCTTCTTCTTCTAATTATTGTCATGGGGGTTGTTTTTTCTTTTTTTTTTTGGAGAGACAGCCAGAGAATATGAAATGAAATCATTTCCATTTTTGACATCTTTTTTTTCTGTTCAATTTTTCATTTTTTCTTGTTTTTTTTTTTGCTTCTTTTTATAGTGTTCAACATTCCATTCAATGTTGTACGAATGTTACCGATAAGTTGGCCATTTTGGTCAGCATTATGTATATTGGCACCATTGATACAATATTCATGTGTTTATGTATCAACATTTACAATGACATTGATTGCATTACATCGATTATGGATGGTAAGACAACGTTCGGCAACAAATGCAGGGAAAAATTCCTGGAAAAAAGTAGCATTAATGGTAATGGGTATTTGGTTAATTGCAATAACATTATCAATACCACATGCATCATTTAATCGTGTAAAAGAAAAACGTTATTATGGCCGTTTATTATATCGTTGTCGTATACAATATCCACGTGTAACATTTAATTTTCCATTAATGATGACTGTTGAAGTATTAATAACACAATATTTATTACCATTATCAATAACATTAATTGTTTATGTTAAAATTGGTATTGTAATTGCAAGACAAGGTGCATTAATTTGTAAATTAAGTGATGAACGTAAACGTCGTCAATCTGAAGCAAAACGTCGTCGTATATTTATGTTGGCATTAGCTGTTGCAACATTTGCAACTTGTTGGGCACCGATTAATCTTTATGTATTATTAGTTGATATGGGTGCTGTTGAATTTCATCAAGTTGCATTTATTATGGTTAGTATTATTAGATTGATGTTTTTCTTTTCTTGTTTCATTCTTCTTAATCTAATCTAATCAATCATTTTTTAATTATTCAAAATTCCATAGTGCCATTGGTTTGCAATGTCTTCGGTTTGTTACAAGTAAGTTTTTACTTTTACTTTTTACATTTTCATTTTCAATTTAATCAATTATATCACTCCCTTTCCAATCAAATTAGTCCAATCATTTATTGTTGGTTAAATGAAAAATTTCGTAATGGAGCAAAACAATCATTACGTACGATATTGGAATTTGCTCATATTTCGGCTAAACATTCAAATTTAACCAATAATAATAATAACAGCAGTACAATTAATATTAACAACAAAATTGATTTACAACAACAACAACAACAACAACAATCAATTTTACAGCAACCAATTTGTATACAGAAAAATAATAGAACCATATCAACAACAATGGATATGAATCTTGTTGATGATGATGATGATGATGATAATAATAACAACCAAATTATACGTAGTAATGGTAATGTAATCAATATGATGATTACAACAACAGCACCAACTATAACAACAACAACAACAACATTATCAACATGGGATCATACAAATGTTGATCAAGAATTCAATGACATTGATGATGATGGACACAAAAATTTCAATTTAAAATTGAAAAAAATCAACAATAATGATGATTTAAATGATGAATCAACAACATCTTCATCAACATTTAATATTGATCCAACGACAAAACAAACGACAATTATAACAATGAATAATGTTAATAATAATAATAATAATAATAATATGACCATTATTCAAAAAGAATCGAAACATCATTATCATCATCCACATCATCATCATCATCATCATCACGATATTCAAATTATAGAAAATGAATTTCCTGTTTAAAAATTTGATTTAATTATTATGAGAATTATCAATTACAATTTTTAAATTATCTGTGATTTAATGCCGCCATACACAAACAAACAAACACAAACACAAACGAATCATATTATGCCATTATCATTACCGAAAAATTGAATTTAAAAAAAGAAATTTGAAAACAAAAACAAAACAAAATTATCATCATCATCATCGAGATAATCAGGATATTCGAATGATTCGAAAACATTCGAAAATACAATCGCGATACAATCGATTTTTCATCCAAAACAAAATAACAAACCAAAAATTATTATCGCTTATTTGTTTATCAATTTGTAATTTGTAATTATTATTATTGAAATTGAAAAATTATTAACTTAATTTTAATAAATAAAAAAATTATTAATTGCTTTAAAGAAATTTGTCAGTAAAAAAAAAAAATATCGAGGAAGATGGATATAACGAATGGAGATCAAAACCAAATCAAAACTTTGATTTCTCGTTTCTGTTTAAAAGGAAAGAAGAAAATTTCATCTTTTAATGAAAATTTTCAACGAAGATTTTAGCCCTGTTAAAATCCATATGGATTTAATATTTCGTTCTGAACATATCGTCGTGTTTGAATGAATGAATTATATAGTTACCATAATGATGATAATGATCATTATCATCATCAAGGAAGTTTTTTTTCACAACGATGTTTTCACACACACACGCATACAATTGCATATTTCACTGCACTTGGACGTGAAATAAAGTATTCCCAAATGAAGCTATGATATTTGCTAATCCCACACACAAACACTTTAAAGTTTCATTCCATTTCGCAACATAATTGGTTAATTTTTTTTCAAAAAAAAAAAAAAAAATTATCATCGGGGTCATCTTCTTCTTCATGACTTGCATTAATTAGCAAAAAATTTTCTTTCTTCCTTTGCTTAAATAAATGGATAATGGTAGAAAATCTTAACCGCAAAATCAATGGATATGTTTATGATGAGGATGAGGATGGTGGTGATGGTGAAAAACTTTCATTTTTAAGCATTTAAAGCGGAAATAAACGAAATGAAAACGTGACAGGTTGTTGCTGTTGCCGTTGAAAGTGTTAATTTATTAATTTTTTTTAAAGAAAAAAGAAAAATCAATGAAAACAAAAAATTATTTACAACAAAAATTGATTTTGAAAAACACAAAAAAAAATTAAAAGTTTCAAAAAGTTTCATAAATAAAAAAAGATGAAGAAAAAATAATGAAAAAATAATGGATCGATTTGAATTGGGTTAATGTTTTGTTTGGGTTAATGTTTGGTTTGATGTGGTTTGCTTTGGTTTGGTATGGTTTGATTTGTGATTCATGCAATGAATCCAAAATCTGATTAGAATTTTGATTAGTGTATCGGGTTACAATGAAAAAAAAAAAATTTCAAAAACATAATTAGTAAAATGATGATGATGATATGATGAGGTTGATGATGACCAGGAACAGATTACCATTTTTCGAAAATGTACGTCCAGAATTTGTTTCGTTTCATTTCATTTCATTTTAGTAATAACTTTGATAATTATTTGTTGCAGTTAAAATTGGTGTTTGATAATAATATCGTGGTGATTGATTTGATGATTGATATTGTTGATCTTGATGTGGATATTGTCGTTGATATTGATATTGTTGTTGTTGTTGTTGTTGATTTAATTGTGATGAATAAGTTTTACTATTATAATGATTATATGGATATGTCGCATATGATAAATACGATGATGATGATGATGATGGTTGATACGATGGTGGTGATGGTGGTGGTGGTTTTACATAAACAGGTATCGGTATCTTTACCGGAACATATTTCTTTTCAACAACATTTACCGGAAACTTTTTCAAAAAAAAAATGAAAATTTCCAATTAGAAATTCAAAGAAGTTGAATTATTTTCTACTTACCGGATAGAATACACGACGCCAAATAGTAATCGGTTGACGTGTAAGACTTTGTCCTAAACGAAATGCTTGCATTTCAGCTAATGGTCCAGCATAATTTGGTTGAATTTGATTCATTATTAATATTAATATTATTGTCATGGCCAAGGTTATTGTTGTTGTCGATGATGATAATTGTTTGGTGGTTAATCTTAACCGATTTGGATTCATTCTTAATCGGGTATTCTTTCAACGAAAGCGAACAAACAGAAAACACAAATTAAAAAAACTTTAAAGCAATCGATTGTACTCGAGAATGATGAACATCAAACAAAATGAAGATGATTGAAGAACGATATTTCCTTTAACATTTTGAAAACATCATTTTTCTTCTTCGTTCGTTCTTCGATCGACATTCCCGCGTGACATAAGTCGAGTTTCTCTTTTTTTTCCATTAAACGGTTATCATCGTATATCGTATAGGTTATGTATATATGAAAAGGGGAAAGCCCGACATACGGACACACATACATAGGTAAATATAATGATGATGATGTTTGAGAAACAACAAAAATCATCATCATCATTCAATGGCCAAAAAAAAAATCTTAATAAGGATAATGTCGGATATCACATTTATGCAGAAAATGACTAAATATTATGATAAAAGAAGATTGACGAAGAAAATGACGGAAATCTCATTAATCTATTTCAATCATTCATTCATTCGCTAGTTAGTTAGTTAGTTAGTTTTTTTGTTTTCTCACATCCTTTGTTGAAACAAACAAACGAAACAATCAAAGCTTTAGCATCTTCTTGGAATATATTCACTTTGTTACTTCTGCTTCTGTCGTTGATTAATTACATTCGTTACAAATACAATTGTTTTTGAGTGAAATCTAGATTAATTTGTAAAATTTCCGGATGTCTCAGGTTACTATGTTTCAGGCCCCTATAGGATTACAGGTGGTTAATGTTTGTCTTTGTCATTTTTCTTGACATCAACCTTCAATCATTTAAAATGAAAAATGATGATAATGATAATCGTTTTCAAACGCCATCTGTATCCGAAAACAATGTATCATTTTTGTTTTTTTGTTTGTTTGAAAATTTCCTGAACCTAAACCCCCACCAATGGATTGGAATCATTTTTCGTTTTGCAAAAAGCAAAAAACAATGATCAATTATTGTTGTCCGAAAAGTCGAAAACTTTCTTTTTACCCGGTATGAAACGAAACGAAAATTTCCAAAACGGAAAAAAATTATTCATCGTAATCATCATCATTATTACGGAAATTTATTCAATTTATGAAGAAAAAACCTCAATTTAATGAATTTTGATCTCGAAAAAAAAACATTCATTTTACAAATTGAGTTTAATGTTTTTTTTTTCTGGGCAAATGAAGAAAATTTCCCGGAAATTTAATGTAAATGATTACGGATTAATTTTGCTTATGGTTGATTGCATTTTGTATGGAAAACAAAAATATTTCACCGATCTTTTTCAACAAAATTAACAATTTTTTTTTTCTTTTATTAATGATGTAAATAAATTTCTTTATTTGAATTTCAAAATGAAAGAAAAAAATTCGCTCAAGATTCATTTAAAGGAGGATTTATCAAGGAAGAAGAAGATTTATATGTAAATGGTGGGATACATGGGACATACATTATAATAATTTGCCTAATAACTACATATGATAATTGGAGGTGGAAGGTGAAGGTGATGTGATGGTGGTGGGAAAAGAGGGGGAAAAATTGGGGGAGTGACAATGGTAAATATATTATGGTACATTATATTGGACTAAATTGTAAAGGAATAATGGACACATTTGGATATTGGATGCATGTAAAACACACACACACATAATAAACTAATGGTTTCCATTTTGGGGGGAATAGGGGGGTTTGATGGGGAAGAGAGAGAATTGTTGTTGATGGAACTATAGTCAATGACTAATGACTATGTTTCAGGTAAAGGGATATTATTCGGGGATGCAATATGGGGGGAATCAAGGAAGAAATCATTGTAGTGGATCTAAGCAAATCAAGCAATATATAAAACCATATAAGAGAGAGAGAGAGGTAATAGATGAAAGGTTGAGGATCAAAGATATTGGATAACAGAATTATGGCATGGAATTGGGATAATGAAAGGGAATTTGCAGTATCGGTGGTTGTTGGAGGGATTGATTGTGAGACCAAATCAAAAACAAAAACAAAACTAAAATGAATCGATTCGGAAATTTGTTGAGGAAAATGCGTGTGAGTGTGGGGGGAAGGAGGGGAAAAAGAGCGAATTGATCAATTCAAAATTCTTACACATTTAACATCATTATTATCATCACTGCTGATCAACAGGTCAGTGATGAAGGTAATGTTTGAAATGCGTTTGTGTGTATGTATGTATGTATGGCAACGATATGATGATTATATATTTATATGAGACGAAAAAAAAGGGTTGAGATGATATATATGGATGGATGGATGTATTGATGAATGGATGGTAGGTTGGTTTGATTGATTCGATGCTAATTAGATTATTATTAACCAATTGAATGAATTAAAGGGATTTTATGTTGTTGTTGTTTAATAACCGGCTTCATAGCCACCACCACCACCACCGCTGTAACCTTGATCACCACCACCATATTCGCCACCATAACCGCCACCACCACCATAAGATCCACCACTATAACCTTTATCAACGCTAAAAAGAAAGAAGGGTAGAAGAAAAAAGAAGAAAATCGATTGATAACGGAAAAGAATTTCTTCACAATTTTTGTATGGCAAACAAAAAAAAACTTACTAGATTGGTTCGGGTTTTGGATGAACATAGTATGGAATTGGTTTCTTGTATGGTACATATTTTTTATGTTCAACTTTCATTGGAATCTAATCGAAGAGAGAGAGAGAGAGAGAGAGAGAAAGAAAAAAAATGGTTGAAATTAAAGATGAAAATTTCAGCAAACAAACAAAAAAAACATACGGGAAGTGGAAGTGGTAATGGCAACATTTTTGGTCGTTTAGCCAATGCAGCACCCAATAACATAGCGGCAATCATTTTGTTAGCGGCAATCATTTCAATAAAAAATGTTGAAACAAATAAACCCAAAAAGGTAAATAATAAAATTGATTGAGTATTGAATTTCATTTTTGATTTTTGATTGATGATTTTTTCGGTTGAATTTTTTATAAACAATTTCCAAATCGAACAAGAACAAAACAGAAACAAGAAAACAAAAAACACTAAATGATCAGATCAGATGATGATGATGATTTGTTGTGATTCAAATGTTGATTATTGGACACATTTTTATACTATATCGTGTCTATCATATTTTGTTAACATTATCCTTTTTTTTGGTGAAGAAACAGAAAATTATCATTTTTGAAAAAAAAGAGAACTATGAATGAAGATTTGAGAAAGAAGAAAGAAACGAAATTAGACAACAACATATATCATATCGTAAAATTATTAAAGATGTTGTTGTGGAAAAGTAGAAACACGTGTTTTTTCTTTCTGACTTTCTTTCTTTCCAAACAAACTTGTATTATATCAAATATCAATACCTGTTTGTTTTTTTTCTATTTTTTTTTTCGTTGATGATGTGTGCAACAAGTGAACAGTTTATGTAATTCGTTTTTTTTTCTTTCCGATTCAATAATAATAATTCGGGAATGATGACTGGGTCAATCTTTGTTGTTGTTGATGATGATGATTTAATGGGATAATTTTTTGCACTTGCACCTGTATATATATAATATTGATTAATTCAAAGCAAAATCAACAACAGGTATTGTTTTTTTTTATTTGAAAAACAGGGAAAAACTGTATCATATCCTTATTTGATTGAGCAGAAAAATAGCTATCAAACTAATCATCATCGATCTACCTATCTGGCCAGCAGCTATTCAGT